AAAATCCCTCAGACACCACTCTGGGATGAAATTGGCCGCAACTGATGGGCACTAGATTCCAAGTTGCAGCGCCTGAGGAGAGGGTTCTCAAAGTTCTCCGCCAGCTGGGACAAGTCCTAACAGTGAGATCCATTGAGATCACAACTCTTTGCCGGCGAGAGAGCCCTGTACACGCCACTTCCGCGTTGGTCAAATCTTTGTATCTTGGTGTCCCTTGGCTTTCCGTTAGACAAAGCCCGGAGTGATTCCAATCGGTCAATCAGATCTCAACACGAAGTAGGCCTTCACCCTTGCCGGACCTCACCTGGGGGGATCCTGAGAAGACGAAACCCGTGAATTATATTCGCCTTCCTTTTCCTAAATGTCGAAAGTACGGCTCCCCATTTTGCAAAACCTTTGCCCTCTCCGAGGCGCCAGGGAGATTTGCATGTTGCTTTGGGCGCCGTCTTCGCCGATGGTGGTCACCTGTTTCAAGGTCGAGTCGACCAAACTGGCGAACACCCGGCAAGGGTCAAAAAAAAAAAAAAAAAACCTCGTAGAACCGCAGAACTGCACAGGCCAGTGACAAATTTTGGAGAAAGAAACCTGGAGTCCAAAGTCGGAGAAAATGAACAGCTGCAGTTCTTCTCCAAATTCTTCTCCAAATTCCTGCCGAGGCTCTGAGGAGTAGCCTCCACCTCTAGAGACCTCCTCGTGCTCCTGCCAGGAACGCGACAAGCTCACCCTCCCCGCGATGGGGGTTCTGGGTCCGGCCCCATATGAGGCTCGGGTTTTGGGGTTGCGACCCTTCCACACGCATGGGAGATCCAATCGACAGCTTCGAGGCCCCAGCAAAATCACCCAAAAAGCTCAAGACCCGCCATAACACGAAGCCTCCGTGGTCCCATCCGGGTGGATGGTGATGGTCACCTTCTTGCCGCGGGACTTGAAGGTGCCTGACGACCCAACTGCAACCCCGAGAGTTTGCCCAAGCGAGCGCGGAGGCCCCTTGACCTCATCTTCGGTTGGCGCCGTTGTCTTAGACGGGAAGGGACCTCATCTAGGTTCAGCAGTGTTGAGGCCAAACTTCCACAACGAAAATAGAGTAACTATGACAGCTTTGTTCTAGTCATCCATGACTGCTCTCCATGCCATGATTTAGTTGGCGCAAAAAGCGGTCGCACTTGATCAAGGCACGCTCTCCGCCGTATCCAGCTCAGAACATGATGGTGGACTGAAAAATCTGCACCCATGGCCCGGTGGCAAGCCTATGAGGTCAGTGATCTCTCTGCGTGTCAAAGCTACGGACCCTTTGTGGGAACAGTCTTCAACAGGGAGCCAACATCAAACCAATTGGGATCCATCTCGCTGTTTACACACGCCCAGCAGTGTTATGCAGCCTCACAAATGGGGTGCGCTACATTCGCAAGGGTGGTGCCTTTGGGCTCCCTCCAAGCCTTTCGGGGCACCCCTTGGCGCCCAAGGCTCACCCCAACAGCGCCTGTCACCTTCAGGCCCGGCCGCCACCGGGCGTGCACGTCCCCGAAGAGACCCTCGAAGGTGCGGAAGGCGCGGTCCCGGCCGTAGTCCTCGGAAAGCTGGGAAGATGGGGTCTGTTGAGGTCCCTTCCTGGGTTTCAAGGGAAACCAAAAAAGGAACCACATAGGAGGCTACCATATCCCGGCCGGCCCTATTGTCATGGAACATGTCAAAAATAGCGAGGGTAGAAGCCGGAATCAGTGCGTTCTTCGTGACTTCCCTTTCGTTGTTCTTCTCACCTTCGCGTAGCAACTGCGCTACAAACTAAATTCGCGCACAGTCGCTGGGGAGGGTTAGGTGTCTGCTTTCCCTGAGGAATGTGCCAACATCACGCTCGATCGGGTGTTGAGCACTGCCAGACATCGGCACTAAGCGCAAAGTGCGAAAATCCACTGTTCGTCGTGGGGGGGGGACGGGGATGGGGTGGAGTGCCAGAGAAGCAAAGGCGTGAAATACGTGCCGTCCAATTCGGGGTGGCCCGGCAAGCTTCCCCAGGCTTGCCCGAACGACACGGGAACAAGATTTGCGTCCGCAACGTGCACCTGGAGCCCTTCAGCCCGCTTTCAGCTCAAGCAATGATCCACTCAAAAGCTTGCTTCGGCATTTTAAGAAGAAGAAAAAAAGTATCAACAGGGGGGTGTCCCAATGTAGAGGGAAGCCACCACTTCTTGAGGGAAAACCCAATGATCATAGATGATGCACCAGGTTGAGGTATGCCGTGGGCGACTCAAACGGACGCAAACGAAACCAAAAGGTCCACAGGTCCACAGGCCGATGTTTTCGTTGTGAGCCCCAAAACCTTCAGGTGAGATTTTTGTTCTCATCCAAAACAGTCCCGTTTGACTGCCAAATGAAAGAGCTGGGCTTTTTACTTTCAAACATGTCCAACAAGATAGGCTGTCAACCATACTTCATTCAAACAGCGTGAACTTTGACATGTCGCCCCCCATCACTTCAAGCCGGGCACCGCCGTCCGCGGCATGCGCGAGCCCTTGGAACGGAACGAAGGCGGGAGGGAAGGGGAGCTGTCACATTTCCACTAGTAAGGAAAATCAGCAAAAGCTACCATTCCCAGCGCTGCCAGTTACCATAATAGGCAACCAGGGAACAAGAAGCAAGGGGATTTGCAAGATCCCCTCATTCTAGGACACACCATGCCTCCCACCGCGATCATCAAGTCATGCCATGTGTCAGTGCGATGCGGAAAAGTCATTTATCGACTCATTTGCCAGCAAATGACCGGTTTGCAAACCTGGGCTTCAACGACGAGGTCTCAATGCGTGGGCGTGTCTCTAAACAGAGAACCTCTTTGTTAGATTGTCTTCGGTGGAAACCAAACAGAAACAAGCCACCCCTGGACCCCTGGTCCAATCTCCACGTATGTTGACGGTGAGGGGCTGAAATGCCTCGGATTTGCTTCTGGGTTGCCCTGAACCAGTGTCCCCTTTGAACCCACCCTAAAACGGGTGCCCTCAGAGGCGCCTTAGGCTGCTGGAGCTCCTGGTGCGCGGGTCAGCCCAGGATGGGTTTGTTTAAAGGCTTCAACGGGGGAAAGCAGTACAGCACCATAGGAAGTACTTGGACCAGGGCTAAAGCTTCTGGCTCTTCCGGTTTTCCTGCCTGGGCCAAAGGCTGAAAGCGGTGAATGGCTGTTGACTTTGGCGGGTGAATTGCAGTTAAATGAGTTCTCAACCGAATCGAAGCGGCGATGATCCTGACTGAATTCATTCATGTTGCTTTTGAAGCAATTGAGCCAAGGCATCTCATCCTAGGGCACACAAAATCTTCCAAGACTTGAATTGACTTGAGCAGTGATCCACAGCAAAGTAGCATCTTATGGTAGGCAACGATACCATCAGCTCCTGGCTCATTAAACCTTGCGTGCATCTGTATCTCTACCCAGTCGCTGAGCCTGGCCCCCGCTCGCAAGAGGAAGGCACCCAAACTGTTTGAAGCTCTTGTCACTGGTCCTCTGCATCTTTCGAACCATGATGAATAAACCCGAACAGAGGAATAGTCGGCTCCTTCAGTCAGGCGCAGGGTTTTTGCCCTCTCAGCAACACACTCGCAAACAGCCAGCCAAGCTTTAAGCCCTTTGCGCCCCTTCCAATCTTTGGACCTGTTTTGCCTTTTGCTACGCTAGGCGTCCAAGGTCCACCTCCCAAGGCCATCGGCTCGCTCCTCGTAGCAGCTGGACAGCTCCCGAAAGCGCTCCTCCGCCTCCGGCGCGGGGTTCCTCGGCACGGCTTGCGATGTCTAGCGGAGCCAAACACGTGGGACGTAAAGGAGGAGCCAAAGAAGACATGCTCGGTGTCAAAAGCGACTCTATGAGCTAGCTTTGCAAGTGCAGACTTTTCTCTCGGTGTCAATCGACTCTATGATGAGCCTGCGTTTGATATGCAAGGAGATAGGAAGCGGGCGTGCGAGTGTGCAAAGGATGACAAGGCTCTGGCACCCAGAACCGTCTGATGTTGACAGCAGCAGAAGGCAAACACACACAAGATCCCGGAAGAACTGCTGGGCCCTGACACCAACCTGTTCATACTCTGATGGAATCCCGTTCCCTCAAAGCACGGGCCCGTCGGACGCAATTCCAGCCACTCATGCAGCTAGGCAACTTGTCCGGATGCCATTGAAGTGCCTTTTGTCGATAAGCCTCAGGCATCCAGCCCATCCAGTGTGTTTGTTCGCAAAGGATTGCGGAAAACGCGGCACTCTAATTGGCAGGCACTTCATGCCTGATGCAATTGTGAACTTACCTGCCTATGGTGCGCTGGTCCAATACTGATGTAGATGGGTTGAATTAATTGTGGGTAACCCAACCTTTCACCCCTGGAGACACTGCAAATGTGTGATGGCCGACATAAACTAACACACACACACAGAAACGCACATACTTTGGCTACCAAGCTTCATAATGAGGCTAAAACGGAAGTGAACCCACAGTGACTGGACTTCGACTTGGTGACACATGCAAAACCAGTGGTTCAATTCCCATGTTTGACAATGAACCCGAAGGCAGAGCGCCGCCAATTTTCTGAACAAACTACTATGGACTTCAGAATCCCCAAGTAAGGGGCGTTCATCATGTTAGCCCCATGTCGTCTGTTGTCATTTGCCCACACATTTCCAACGCGTCCGGTCCCCCCCCCCCGCCAGCGGGTTGGTGGGGTGCCTTCTTGATCGCCTGGGCATCCGCTCGCCGCGGCACCTCCAGGAGATCCTGAGATGTGCACCCACCCACCCACCCCTACCCACCCACCCACCCACCCACCCACCCACCCACCCACCCACCCACCTCACCCAATACCCACCCACCCCAACCCTGTTTTGGGAATATTTTGAGACTTTTTGCTGCCCCATGGTGGGATACACCTACGCCATGCGATGGAGGCTTCATGATTTCATGGGCTATATACCTAGTTTGGCAAGGGACTGGTCGGTTGCAACCTAAACCTAAGTTACATCAACCCTGCAGCTTCTCTCACTGAGATGTGATTTCTTCCAAAGCAGCCAATGCACCGCCTTTTGCACATCAAGTTGGCTCCTGCCCACCCCCTGCCGACCCCGTCCCCTCTGGCCAACCCATCCGCCAAGTCTCCCAACAGTCCGTGGCCGCTGCCAGTGTCAAGGACGCCAGCAGCGTGCATCGCATGGTGCTGCCGGCCGGCCAAACAGGCGCCAAGGCGCCAACGTCACGAGAGTGACACAAACAACAGCGTAAATGAGCCCAGGTGAGGCGAAAATCAAGAGCTTTGTGAAAAAGGGAAACCCAGGCACCCTTCTACGGCTTGCTCTGTTGCCGCGAGCTACTTCCGAACAAGTGTTTTCTTCTTGCCGTGGTGTCCTGAAACTCCCGGGCTTAAGAACGGATATTCACTTGCTGTCTTAAGCCGCTTAAACCGCTGTCTTGAGTGCTTTCGCCGGCAATGGCCTAAACTGGCCCAGCGGCCCGAGCCAACGCTGCGCGTGCAAACTTGCGCCGGAAGAAGCTTCCTGAAGACGCTTTCCAAAGGTCCCCGACCCCTGAAGACGCTTCTCCGAATCCCTCCAACCTTGATTGGAGCCCATCTGCATGTGGTTTGAGGCCCCCCGCGCGCCGCGAGGCCACACTTTCCAGCCACCAGCTTCACCTCGAATTAAGGCTTTCTTTCAAAAAAATGACAAGTCCCAAGCTGGTTCAACTCTCGCAGCTTCCCAAAGCTTTAGCGAGAAGCCAGGCTAAACACAGTGGCTTCTCGGGTAAGGGGTGGTACGATAGAACAGTGAAGAACCCGTGCAGTATGGCAGGGAAAGGCAATTGCCAGGAAGAAAATGGGTGCCATTTCCCCACAATTCCTGCATCCCTGGCTTGACTTCCCCACTCTTAGGCGGCTGCAGCCCGATTCCGGAACTCCATGGGTGTGCTCACGATGAGGTCGCTCCTTAGGTTTTGGCAATGCCAATTGCTAGCTCACATATGTCAACAAGAGGTGTCTACCCTGCGTTTACATTCTTATCGCATGACATCAGGTCGTTTTGCATGAAAACTCCCTCTGCAATCCGCAGCCCCCATGTTGCTGATCCCTGCCCCACTCCAAAAGCCACGAGCGCACGATACCAGGTGGCCCAAAAATGAAGGACTCGCCACCTTTTTTGGGGGGGACCCCGAATACTTTGTTCGAATGAACAAACAGAAGCAATCAAAAGCGCTGGCGTCCCTCTTTCCAACAATCATGTGGATAGGCAGATTCCGCAAAAGTCAGCTTGCATGATTGGTGGCGACCCAGCCACTTGGGGCCCAGGCAGGAAGATGATGCCCTGGGTGCTGTAAGCACCTGACCCCATGCCTGGCATCAGCCGTCTTTCAAAAAATGCTCAGACAGTCAAGGTGGCCGTTTCAATCTCCTTTCCGAAATGCACACCACCATCCAACAAGTTTGTAGCAAGCTGGGAAAGCGTCAGCTCCTTTTGTTTCTGCCCACCGATTCTGCGGCCATGTTTGGATCTATCCTATCTGCCATTCCCAAGGGCAGGCATCCCCTTGCCACAGGGGAAATGTCGCCTGTGGGACCAACTTGTTGCATCGCAGCGTCGCCTTTACTGAAACTCACATGATGAGATCTGGTTGCTTCAGGGCCAATCATCTTGCGCCTGGAGCCTTGCACCTTCGCTATACACGCCTAGACCGTCCAAGGTTCATCTGACTCTATCGGTGGAGTGCATTCTAACCGCAGATACAACAGCAAGACGAGTGAAACCACAAACCTGCCCTCAAAACCCATCGATCTCATCAGCCAACCCTGTGGGGGAGTGGTTCACCCAGCAGGAATGCATCCCGCAACTCGATTTCGATGTGCCTAAGAGCGACTTCTTCTGGGATCCCACCAGGATGATGTTCTGTGCTGGCATCCGAGCCTGCAGCGCGGATGGACCACAAGCCGAAGATGACATCAAACGACCCCCCCAGAGGCATATTCACATGTGCCTTCCCAGCAACGGACACGAACCCTCCAAGTTCATCTCTCCCATTCGCCTGATCTACCAGTGAATTCTGAGCGGCCGGGCAAGATTCAGGAGACCTCCTGCTGCTGTGATCAGCTTGGCCTCAGGAAATGCCCTTGAAACTCTAGATTGATGGGCTTGAGTTGATCATTGGTGAGAGACTTTGGTCCTTCTGTGGCCCGGACAATGTGTACATATATTATATAAATTTACACATATGTGTATGTGTATATATATATATGTGTATATATATATAATATATATGTACGCATCTTTGGAAAAACGGCCCTTGCGCCGCAGGGTTTCACGGGCTCAATCTTCAGGCCTTAGTCTGCCTCCCACGAAAGTGGGCAACTCCGAAGGAGCAAGGGCGCTGAAGCGCCCCTCCATAAGAAACATGGACACCAAATGACACCAAAACAAAATGTCTTGAAGCACAGCATTGTACAAACGGGCTTGATGCGTGCACCTCATGAAACAAAATGTAAATCGACTCTC